CACACGATTCTGCTTCGACTTGCGTAATGATTCGCTTACTCTTAAAGATAGCTAAATGAAGTCAAAAATAGTTAAAAATGAACAATTTATGTCATAGCTTACGCCTCACGCGAATATTATTATACCTCTTCATTGTCAAAATTTATTACCTCATTTTCATACAATAAGCTTTATCCTTTTCTTATTAACGTAATATTTATATAAAAAGAATCGATTGGTTAAAAAGAATTTTCTTCTACGTAATAAATTGAGAATGCAATAAGAATAAATGCATACCATTAGAAATGCACCGTATGCTATAAATATAGCAACTATTATTATTTACACTGCATAATGATACATTATACGATTAACAAACCCGTACAATTAATTATAATCCAAGAATTAAACCAGAATCATCCTGTATAATTAAACTCAATTAAAATTAAAGTTGCTTGCATACAGTAAAATCACAAGTATTGTGATGATCCAATTGTTATAAGCCGCTTATAAAGATTCCAAACTTTCTTCACACGTTCCTAACTATACTGTCCTTATCCAATATGTAGAAACTAATTTTCTTATTTTATATTCACGCTCGTAACTAAAGCAGTAATAATAATAAAAATTACCCTTTAACGATTACAATACCAACTTACAACAGCGTTCTTTAATTATTACAATGTCGACCTATACTATTTACCATTACAATACAAATAACTTCAATGCAGGATATGATGATCTGATTAATGACTATCCCAATCAATTCTCTAATCCTGAAAATATTTTTCAAGATACAACATTTTGGAGACCAAGTCCAGAATTAATAACACTCAAAAATAATCTACATAATGTAACATTTTATGACTTTCCTGGCATCGCATGCGCCTATTGTTCTGTTTTAATGTTTACCTCAGAAATTTCCTGGGAACCATTCAATGAAAATTTTGAATACCCGTTAGCCCGTAAATTTCCAAATGAAAAACTACATTTTCACCCTAATTCAAGTATACAAAAAATAGCAATATGTAATTCATGTAAATGCAAACAGAACAAACCTTCACCTCCCGATCTATTACCAATTCCTAATGAAATTGCAGTTGTTCCAATGTACAATCGTCAATTTCTATCACCTATACACTTACGATGCTCATTAGGAAGACACGCTGGAAGCAATTCGTATATAAACTACAGACACCTTACAGGTTCTTTTGGTTATTCATGCAATATCCGTGCATTAGCCTTATATTCTGGAGAGCTTGGCGCATTTTTTTATGATTCAGACTCCTCACCGAACTGGTATCATCCAACATTGTACAATGCGATTAATTGGTTAAAGAGAAATAATCCATATTTACAACATTTTAAACCAAGCTGGTCAATCACAAACAATACCATGAATA